GACACACATTTCCTGCCTGGTTTTCTTTAGGGCACCCTAGTTTTCAGCTCTGTGACATTAGAGAAGGATTTACAGAGAGACTGTCACTTTGGAGACTGTGAAATATGATGGACAACACAAAGGTGGAAATTACGAATGCCTTGGGAACAGAAGTAACATAAGATCTTCTCTTTAATAAAACATATCTTTGCAAAATAACAACGTAGTTTGAAAGGATTCTTGAACTGGAAATGTCAGGCTTGAAGTTTCATAAAAACTCAAGAGGATTAAGTTCAGTGCTTTTAGACATTAATGGAAATGGTGCTATTCCTTAAGTCTAATTGCCCACTTTTAGTAAAGAAGTATTTCAGTTGTTGGCTAATCCATCTCTCAAATATCCAAGGGACTTTCAATTTCATATTGATCTTGTTCCTGGACTATCCTTAACAGCTGTTAGCATTATGGTGTTTCATTTGTGTTTCATTTTTCTCATGTTTATAACACTGCATCTACAAAGGAAGTTGCATCTTATTGAGATTTCCTGGCAGAGGCAAGGATTCAGGGATGGTGACTAGCATCTCCATGCTGTTATCAGCATCCACTTGCTTAGGAAAAGCTGGGGTAGAGAAACAGAGCCACAGCCTGAGGGCATATGTAAAGCTTCTGTGCCCAAATAAGCAAAAAGGTGGGAGTGCATGCCTGCCATAGGGAATTATTTTCAGCTCAGCTCTCCTGGTAGTCTTGCAAAGTTTGAATGCTACTCACCTCTTAAATTTGTCTTTGAAAGTCTGCTAATACTGGTCTGCAGATCCCAGCAGGATACACTCCTAAAATTAAATGTGTGCCCATCAGGGCATCAGTGATGACTTCGTGATTTATTCAGAGGCCACTAAAATAGTTGGGCTAAAGGAAACCTAAGAGGTTATGCATTCAAGAAGCCAGTATGCAAGCTTAATACCTTGTTGCATAACCAGGCAAACAGGCTTCATGAACCTCATGGAAGGCAGTGGCAATGAAAGCACCAGTGAACTGAGTGACAAGTGGGTAAGTTAGTTTGTAACAGTTGGAGAGAATCAGACATCAATATATCTTAGTTGCAAATTACTGACTTGTCACCTATTTGTTTTATGATTGTGATGTTTCAGTTGCTGTTGACAACTGCTTGTCGCTCAAAACTATAGAAGCCTTTACATAAAATATGATATAGCAATCTTTTCAAATAGTTCCTTCTTTCTCTGGTGATACATGTATTCAAAGTTACACAGAAATTGCTGTGATCTTGTTGACAATATATGAAGCCCATTTTAGCATTGACCTGTTTGCCCCTTTTAGCGAGGTTATGCTTTTTTACAAGGAATTCAAGATTGGCAGAGTAATCCTAACAGATAATACTCAACTATAAAACATTTCTCCTTTTGCTTTCCCTGTCATGTATTTCCTGTGGAAGCAATATCTTCTGAACAAACAGGTTGAATAATTAGGTGGCAGCGTAATGCAACAAGGCAACACAATACCTGATCAGCAGGGTCTATTTTTATATCTCCTTTGGTCTTTACTCATTTGTCCCATTAGCTGAACAGCATGGAAGCTGGGGAACGCCTCCTCCTCTTCCCTTTAACCAGGAGGCAGCAGGTGCAGAGCTCCCATGCCCTGACAGACAAGAGAATTTGGCAGCGGGTATAACAGGCAGTGCCTCAAAATCAAACAGAGCTTATCAAGAAAAACAGGTGCTTTTTTTTCTTAGCAACCCCTCCATCACCACTGCTCCTCCCTCTGGCCTGCTTCGGAGCTCTGCCTTCCCTGTGGTCACTGTAGGGGGGTTAAGCTGCAGACTACCAAACAGCAGAGCTGCTTTTATCGCGTCTCAACATCTATGTGAGATATCTACTACCATCAGTAAGTTCAATAGCACAGAAATAAAGTGAGAATTGAAAGGGTTAGCCTGCTTACTACATAGTGCAGCAACTGGGGTAAATCTGATGTAACGTGTTCATGCCTGTCTCACTCCTAGGTAATTTATAATAGCCTCAAGTTCCAATATAAAAAGCACAGAGCTGCAGGGAGACATGTCAGCTTCCCTTACACGGGCTGTCACTCCCTTCGAAACACAATAATTAAGATGTCTGGTGTAACCGCTTCTGCCAGAAGTATTTTTAGATTTCAGCCCATTTCAAGAAACTCAGAATTTAAGGGGAAAATTATTAAATGCCAAAGGAAAAACTAAGGGATGTATTCCTACTGTCAGGAGAAGAAGATGAACAGATATTCAGCCAGAATCCCTTGCCCCTGATGTGAAATCTTGTCCAGAAAATACATGAATGATAACAAAATGAAACTAAATTAACAGCGATAGTCAAGATGAGTATTGCTTGACAAGGAGCAATAGCAGCTGAAGTGGAATTGAAAAGGTTCTTACTGCTAGGAGAGATCATGGTCTGCTTAGGTATTTTCACAGGTCTGGAGGTGCTGGTGTAGCCCACCAGGTACCTCTCCTATGACCTGTGTATCTGCCAGAGCATGCTGATTGCTGGAGCTGATGAGTAGCTCAAGAGCATGTGCTCTTACAGCTGGGGTGTCAGAGGCTCTTACCTGTCTTAGGAGGGGCCACAAGAGATGAAACAAATGCAGTGAGCCAGTTACACGGTATTTAGTGCACTGCTAAGCTGTCAGAAATAGTTAATTCCCATTTAGCATTAATCAGTGAAGTAAGACTCAATTAAACAAGTTGTAACCAGGATTAACAAGTGACATTAATTTGCCAGCTAGGAAAGGAATATTCATTGTACAGGTTTCCATCTGTGAAGCTATTTAAAGAGAGATGTCTGCTTGTGTTGTGTTCCTAGGCTTTCCTCTGTAGTATCACCAGTGAAGGCTCCTACATTATAAAGGTCTGTATTCTAATATGCATCAAAAGCCAGAGAAGAAATCTGACCACTCACTATGGAGGAGCAAGCCCTTAGCTACAAGTGCATAAGCATCACCTGCTTGTGAAGGTGATCAGACAAAGCACTAAGCAAGTAAGGATCTTGCAGGAATCACAAAATGTTTAAATCACTGTGATTGCATTATACAAGTTGCTATGGGCTGTTATGAGGTTTGGTAGGCAGATAGGCCTGGAACGTGGACTAGCCAAAGAAACAAGTGTGTCTGTTACTACATTGCAGACCAGGGGAAAAAAAAAGTAATAACAGAGAACAAAAGGTTCATAAATAGCTTGTCAAAACCAGAATGTTTTGTATCTCAAATGTCTATGCCACATGACGTATCTAGAGAATGCTGAAAAGGAATTTTCTGTATGAAGGATCCAAATATTTTATCCCATCATCAGAAAGAAACCTTGCAGAATAAGGTAGTTCATATGCTCAGGCTAGTGGAACATGTCTTACTTTTTAAACTGTTGACCAGGTCAGTGCCTGCAGGGTTGTGGAACCCTATGGTGCACCTGGACACAAAGATCCACCCAGACAAATTCTTATTATAAGTAACCTGAAATGCTTTTGAGATTTGCAGACCTTCGGGTGAGATGACACTACAAACCTTCTAGTACAATCTGGGATTCAGATGGTTCTTCATCTTGCAAAACAGAAGAAGAAAGAATTTCATTAAGTAGACACCAAATTTTATTAGATTAATCTAATGTTATGTACCTTCTCCAATCACGGATCTCTATAATTAAAACATCCCTTTCAAAGTGACTAATACAGTCAGTTTATTTTTGTCCTGGATCTCTTCATCCGCAGAATGTTTTCTGAGTTAACCTTCTGCACTCCCATCTGCCTTTCTGTGATTATTCTAACTGGGAAATTCAATTCTCTGAGCCATCCATAAATAAATATTTTGTTGGCTGTGTTTTGCAGCTGCCACAAGCGACTGAGCCACAGACTGATCTTGTAGCTGTAATAATGCAATTTTCCACTGCCTTGCAATTAATTTGTTTGGTTTCAACTACTGCAAGGAATTCCCTAAACTTGGCCATTTAAAACTAAATTGTATTGCTACGTTATATATATGCACTAAATTCTGTTTATCTAAAGTATTATTTCAACCACACATTCTGCCACACTGTTTTCTTACAGTTCTTGGGCTTAGTTTGTTGGTGGTCTGACCTTGCCACTTCAATATCATGTCCAAAAATACAGTAATTCCCACAGCATCCTGTCTTTTTTCCCCTATGAATCCTCCCAGCTACAGAGATTCCCAGTCCTGTGAATAATGAATGAATAATTTAAGACTCAATTTCTTAATCTGTTGCATTCATTCATTTTACAATGACTTTGATGAGAAATGAAGGCACTAACCAGCTTGCAGGAATGAACACATCAGCTGTGATTTTGTTAGACTGATTCACAGCAAAAAACCCTAGATAGAATCCAAAGTAATAACTGAAAGCAAAACCCCAGCAGATTAAGTCTGTAGTTACAGTTTAACACAAACCCAGTGAGTTCCGCACAGTGATAAATCTCATTTTCACCACCTCAACTGTAAAACACTAAGGTATGCAATGACAGCATCTGCCATGTCAACAGTTTTCCACTCATTTCCAATCCTTGAGGAAATGAATATATTACAAAATATATTGTAAAAATCTCCTCCAGATACCGTAGATTTCTTTACCTTTGTTCAAAACAATCGCCTGCATAATGTCTTCCAATACAGAGGCACTTCTTGGTTCTGCGGTCTTGATGATTAAAGTAATTTTTAATAAATAGGATTTTTAATAAGTCATTAACAATATTTCAAGGATAAAATCTCTTAGAAGTTCTTGCTTTAATTCTGTTCTTTGGAGTTTCATGGGAAATCTAAAAGAGGCCAATTTAGAGCACGTAATATGCACAAATTCTGGAGGTGAGACTCATTGGAATCCAACAGTTTTGAGCTCTTTAATTAAAACAGTATCTGTATATTAACAACAGATTGTTTTTCTTTCCTACCTTTGTCTATACAGGCCTGAATTCAGCTGAAGAATGTTGCAGGGGACAAAAAAATCATGATGGAAGAAAGTAGATAAAGAACGTAAGTCTGAAACATAAAGGAGGGGGACAATTTTTTCCTGTCTGACACAGACATAGCAAGTCCAGTGTCCTCTAGCTTACAAAGGTAAACTTACTTCTAAAAAAGTAATATGTGGGTGGTGTGTATAAAGTCCCTTCATATACATACAAATAACTGGTATCTAATACTCAATGTATATTATACAACCTCTGCATGTATTTGAAAGCTGAAAAAGAATGAGGATCAGCAGTTACTTATTTAAAAGCCTTGCCAACAGCAAATATCTGAAGCAGCTATCCATAACAGAAAAATAAGCAGCCATGGTTCCATGAAGGCAATCTGTTGCTTTCCCAAGAAACTGCATTTAATCACATTAGCTCTAAGTAGGAGAGCCAAAAAGTAACTGGAACTGCATGAAGTGCTGAGTGTACTTGCACAATAGAACTTGTGTGGTTGAATTGTATTACTTACAGGAGGCTTTCTTGCCTGGAGTACTAGATTTTAGAAAGACAGCAAGCACAGAGTCAACATGGACAAGGGGCACGGCTTTAAACTGGAAGAGGGGAGATTTAGATTAGATATTAGGAAGAAGTTCCTCACTGTGAGGGTACTGAGACGCTGGCACAGGTTGCCTAAAGAAGTTGCAGCTGCCCCATCCCTGGAAGTGTTCAAGGCCAGGCTGGATGGGGCTTAGAGCAATGAGGCGTAGTGGAAGGTGTCCCTGCCCATGGCAGGGGGATTGGAAGTGGATGAGCTTTATGGTCCCTTCCAACCCAAACTGGTCTATGATTCTATGACAGATATTGACAAAAGCTGCACTCTGGCACAGAAAATTGGAGAGAGCACTGAGGCCCCCCTCACACAGGGCAATGAGGACAACAACCTGGTATTAATCAATACTCTTGGTGTGATTTCACTAATGGATAATTGGCTAAATGTCTTTAGCTTTCCTGAACCTGACTTGCATTTAGAAAACGTGCAGTATATTAATCTGCTTAACGACACTGTGATACCTGTCTCCAGTCATGTTCTGGGTATACTGTGCTTCCAGCTATCCAAAAATCTTGATCACATTTATGTATCTTTTATCTTCCTCAAAACATCCCTTTTGCTACAGGTAAACATTTTCGAAAGGCAGTATGTCATTGGTTGTATTAAACAGGAAACCTTTCTGTTGAAAGGTTTCAACAGAATAAGAGAGCTTTTAACAACTGATACTAGAATTAAGTAGAATCACTTAAGCAAGAAAAATACAGTGACTATGATCTCCCTGTCCACAAGAGTAATGAATTGTCCATACATAGCTGAAAAGGCTCAGGGAATTTTCCAGTATCTGCTTCCCTCTAGATCTCTTCTATGATCAACAGTTAAACAAGCAACATGAACTTTATCCAACTCGTATGTGAAGCAGATTTTTATCTGCTAGAGCAGTCATTTGCAGTCTCTTAGGGACTTTTGGATAGACATGAAGAACTATGTGATCTGGGAAGGTAACTAGGAAGACAAGGCCTGCTACGTGACCTGTTCACTCAACCCCTGCTTAGATTTTGGCAAACCTAGATCATGCCAAGGCCTGATGTGTGCTGGGAGTCAAAGCCAGAGCATCAGGTAGGCAGGGGAGGTGGAGAGAAACAGCTGAAGGGCCATTGTGCAGCCATAATCGCCTGAAAATTGCTGGGTTTTGTTGGGCATTTTCCTCAGAAACCACTAACTCACAGAAACAATATAGCCTATTTGGTGGGTATATATAGTTCCAAGCTGGTGGGTATAAAAACATCAGCTACCCCAAAAGCTTTATAACATGATCTAACAGCAACTGGACTGCTGAGTCTTTTGTTCTTCCCAGTGTAGCAGAGGAGACACCAGCATAGTGATGGAGGAGCAAAGACAGGCACTCTCCCTGTTGGCTAGTTAGCCCATTCTTTTCTTTTGCTCATAGGTGTACTGTAAGAGTCACAGGTTGTAAGTTATGAAATTTTATTATTTGAATAGTGAATAAGTGAATTAACATAATAATTAGTCTGGGCAAAAGGGGATTGAGCCCTATTTGTCATGTTTTTTTGTTACAGTTCTTAATGAACTCATTAAATGAAGTTTAAATCGCAGAATATGTTGTCCTGTAAATTTTAGAGGTACCAACAGACCTTGACAAACTGTCTGATTCCTTGTATAGGGTTCCTCAAAGGCACTGCAAAAATCTTTGAACCTCTAAACTGAAAACAATATTGAATGCTGATGCTCTAAGTTGTCCTCTTCCTCCAAGCAGCAGATCTTGAGCCCACGTGGCAAAGGAAAAGATCAGCAACACACACAAAGAACATAAACAACAAAGGTTTTGCAAAACTGAAACTAACACAACCACTTCTGCTGGGATGTTAAACATCAAAACCAGATTCAAATCCACAAAGATTTCTCTCCTGTTCATCATCATCATTTCCTCAAAAATTCCCAGATCTGCCCTTCCCATTACAACCAAAACCCTCAGGGTGATTCTTGATATTTAGACAAAGATAATATTTTCCTTCCTAGCACTGATGCAAACCTGCAGTCAAAACACCCATTGCATGAAATGATTTTACTTTTAACACTTCTCATGGCCTACTCAAACCTGTCACCTCTCACAAACCATCAACCCACCATCTCCCTCCCACTCTCTCTGTTGCTCTTTTGCAGTTCTTCACCAAGCCTTTCACTAACTTGGAATATGACATGCTGAGAGAATGCCTGTCTCACTCTTTTTCAGCAAAGGTTGTTTATTACCATCATCTGCTTTTTCCATGTTCTTCTCAGTATTAACTAGTTCGACAGTGAAATAAATGAGGTACTGCCAATACTGGACATGCTGTTATACCCAACAGAAAGAATGCAAAATCTGTACTTGCAGCTAATCCTAACACATGCGCTCAAAGCAGAAAAGACACTAAATTTTGCAGTGATAGAATGGCACCACTGTACCTTCTTTAGTGTTCCTATCTCTTCACCAGTGGATAATACAGATTTCAGAGCAAAGAATAGTCTCATTAATTACTTTCCAGAAAATAGGGAAAAAAAATGAACTCGCCTTAATTCTTGCCTTAAATATTTCCTCATATATGTATTTAGAAGCAAGAAAGGAAGGAATTTCTATAATAAAGATAACAATATACCCTCATATTTTTAATGACTTAGCTTCATGTTTTTCAACTGCTGGAATGAAAAATAACAGCACTTTGAAGGGTTTAGCCAAAATGATACTTTCAATTCTACATAAAATATGTATTACATTCATTCCTGCCAAGATTTGCAGGGATGCATTGTTAAAAAAGGCCTACCAGTATCTTGCGTAAGGTGATTCATCTCTCTTTGAGCATAAAGCACGGTAATGTTAATGCTTTTTCTAGTTCAATTTAAGATGTCCCAAGTGATAAGTCTTTCCTTGTTTCTCCTTGAAAGTTTATTCTAACAAGTCTTGCTGCTACAACATCATGCTTTGCAATCAACCTACACTCTAACTTTCCACATTATGCAAATTCGTATTTGCTCAGCTAATGTGTGGTTACAGAAAGTACAGACACTTATTTGCATTTCAGAGCTAATAAAAAATCATGAAGTTGCAATTTTAATTAATTTAACTTGGTCCCTGTGGTAATTCCGAAGGAAATAAGAGGGCAAACAGAGTGTTTTGTCCCTATTAAAAATAGATAATGATTGATAGATAGACAGATAAATGGATGGATGATGTGCCACTCACAAGAGCAAATCAGAAGCACCTACTACAGTGGCTGTACCATTAAAGGCAATAGTTTTAAATGTGAGATAAAATGTTGTGAGAAAAGGAGATGTTTTGTCAATATATATTCAAAAGCCACCTTATCAGTTTTTCCATCAGTGTTTCACACTGTCCTAGTTGGATCGATTTCCTCCACCTGCAGAACTCTCTTGCTGATAGATTTCATTACTTAAATTCAACAAAGGGGTATCAATTTGTCCATTTGAGAAGATGGATTTACAAGCATGTAGATTTTCATCATGACAGTAAATAAAAACACCTAAAAGGCAGATGCTAGGCACATATTTGGTTTGTGTAATGATTTTCTTTTCTTTATTTTTCTGTATACTTGAGGAAATGAACAGAAGTATTCTCAAGTCCAACAAAAGATCTGGAATAAACCTATGTACCCAGAACTCATTGGTATTCAGTTTATAATTATTGACTGTGTCAAATAGATCTATTCTGATTATTTTGCTTTATTAGTACTGTCGCTCCTCTTAAATTTTAACACCGTGTTTAAATCACCCTGTCTTTAGTAATTTACATGAGTTACACAGGTAGCAATTAGAGTAGCTTGGGCATCAAATGCTACTCTTGATAAAACTGGGGGTTTGTACATTCACTTCATTAAGGTGATTATCATAGGGTAGCATAATGACAAATAGAGATATTATTTAAAGGATTTCTTTTCTATATAGTGATGTCTAAAAAGTGTATTTTAAGTAAGAGCTATATCCATTTATGTCTTAATAATAATAAAAAGACCTGTATGGGAAAAATAGCTCAGTTAAGTCACTTATAAGCCTATCAGATTTTGTGATCCTCATATGAATTATTTAGACAATATAGTCAGTTGTGTACACAGCACATATGTTTTCCTCCACTACATCATTATGTGGGATTGTATGTTTTTAATGTGAAATCTAGCTGGCCGCCTAAAGGTCATGTAAGGAGGGACTTTCAAGTTCTTGTCTTCCATAAATACTTCTGGGAACTCTGGTGCAGCATACATTAGCATACAACAGATGTGTAATCAAGAAAACAAACATAGTCCTCTCACTTCAAGAAAGCAAAAGCCAAGAGCTCTTGGCTCTGCCCTCTGACTGCCTCAGCTTCCCCCTCAGGGCTGCCAAAGGAAACATCCCTTGCTTATGACAATGCACACAATGCACACAGGTTACTCCTGTAGTTAAAGCACCATTAATGCAATCTGCCTTGCTTTTATACCTGCACATGTAAGAAAGGTGATTGCACATAACTTTCCAGGCTCTCTAGAGAATTTTTCTGAGGAAATAAGCAAGTCCTGAACACTAATTGCCTCTTAGGTTATAGGCCTTAGAGGAGAGCTCATAGTCTTGAACACACAGCATGCAATTAAACTTACCTGATTTTACATGTTGGTAGTTCAATATAATCACATGAGTTGATTACCATTAATTCCTTTTATAATTGATACACAGTTTCTTCTAGAGTGACATGCACATTACTTATTTCCATTATTTTAAATTTCAAAGGTGTTTGCTGTGTGTTTCAATGACTCCCACAACAGGTACCTGTGGTGGAAGAGCAGGCCCAATATGCAGGAGTCCCATGGCCAACACCTCTCTTACTTGGTATTCACCAAGGATGAATATTAAAGTGGAAGTGCTGTAAAAGAAAGAGGCAGGCATCATCACATTTTATGCCCTTAAAGGAGATCAAGGACAAGAAATGTCTCCCTGATATAGTAAGTAGGGTTCAGATGTGAACTAGATGCCAAACTGCTCAGCCCTATGAATATTAAAGTGCTTTCATGTAGGCCCACAAGATGATCTTTACAGTACTAGACTGGTGGTTTTCTGTATCTAGTTTTAGCTAGAACAGAGCCACTTTTCATTTAGTAAGTGAAATAAGCACTGGCAGAAATGCTGCAGCAGCAAAGATCACACTAGCAGTTGACGAATTGAGGTATTTATTAGCAGCCCTCAGTGAACTGTAGCTGGCTCCACAAACGCTTTCGTTTGTATTAAGGTTGAGCCATACCCCAGTTACAAAGTGAGCCTATGTAGGCTAATTCTGACTAGCTGCCCCTTGTGGGTATGGCCTTCATTCCCTCACAAAAGTATATAATCTGGTTCCACAGTTTAACATCAGATTTTAAAGTCATCTACTTTGCAAAGAATAGGATGAAGGTAAGTTAATGTGTTACTGAGACTAGCTTATGTTGTTTCCTGAACCAAAGATAAGTAGCTACATTCAGGCATTCTAATTTAAGAGACAGGAATATAAATGAATGCCCCAAATATATAAATACCTGCTTATTCAAGTCTTATGTACCTGTGAGGTTCCGCACTTGTTTAGTTAATTCACTGTATCCAGCAGCTGCTCCAAGCACGTGAAAGAGCAGAGCTTGTCTCAGCTGGAATGAGGTTGCAGTCTGCACTCAGCATGGGCCCAGCAGAGCAGTGAAACTGCACATTTGGAACAGTTTTCCTTGTAACTCAAACAGATCGTAGTTGAACAAAACGTTTTCTTTCCCCCTGAAACTGGTAATCTCTGTGTAGTTACCTGTCTGAGCCTGAAAACCCAAAGTTAAAGTAACACTGAATTGTGCAATTCCAATAAAACCACACATTATATACAACCCCCACCTCCACCTGTAAAAAGGCACGTAACCGTGTGTTTATCAAGCCCATAGGCAAGTGAAATCTATCCACATTTTCACGTTTTGGTTGTATTTTATAGAGTGTTTAACAACACTAGCTTGATTTAAAATAACCAGCTACTCCTATGTTAGAAAATGGCAGGTATTATACGGAAAAATCCATAGGCTTCTCATGTTGATAGATCAATACAAGACAAAATGATACGACAGATTCATTTGTAGACAAAGCATACTGGTTTGTATTAATAATAAACATTTTCACACTGAGGGTAGTATTAATGAGAATCTCATTGATTTATTCAAACCTCCTTAGCTTTTCTATAATCCATATTGAACTGGATTTAAAACTCACTGTCTTGTCTATAAATATTTTGCATAGGAATAATGATACATTGATGTGTAAAATATGTGGGCTTCTCTGCATAAAACGTTGATTTTCAGTTTGCTGGAGTGTAGGATGTACGGGTGTACACAGTTTTTAAATTCCTATGTTTGTATTAATGTCCCAGCTTCTAATTGCTTAGCGTTTTAGGTGTTGGCCATTTCAGGGAGGTTGTAATTCTTCAAGCTGCCATCATGAACAATTGAACATCAACAACAAAAAATCCATCACAGATAAAGGTTTTGATGTATTAAACACCATGGAACAGAGAAGCATCTCTTCAGCCCACTAATAATGAATGTGTCAGGCTCACCACTGGCAACACGGCAGTGGAGACAGAAAATGCCTGTGTAAGCTATGAGAATTAAAAATCAGACAGTTTGTATCAGGATAAGTTGGAAAAGGACGTATCCAGAACATGTCACAAGAAGCTTTTTTGTCACAAGAAGCTTTTTTTTTGTAATTAAAAACATAGATCCAGAAAAGCAGCCAGAGTCCTGTGGATTCAGTTCATAGGAGGTCACAAAAAAATCAACAACAGGATTTATATTATCCAAATGCACCATTTCAATTTACAAACATAAGGGAAAATGTTCTCCTAAAAATTAAACCACTCAGTTCACACTAAATCTGATGCCAGCATACAGCCCACAGGTTCCACAGTACCAAACGAACCTGGTTTTCCAGCAGTGTGCAAGAACAGGGAATCAACATGCCTTGCATGTGGATCAGTGTGTTCCATAAATAGGCTAGTGGCTTCAGTTTATGGTTTTCCTCTCCACACACCACCGCCCCAATCATCAAGAGAAATTGGAATACTTTGGGCACAGGGCCACAAAAGCATTTCATTCCAGGAATTTATTTCTGCAAACAAAGAGCACAAGTTGTGCTATTTCCCTTCAATCTGTGCGATGTAATCGGCACCAAACCAGTCTTTGGTTACATCCTTGAGCACTGAAGTCTACATATTTGCCCAGAAATAAAACTG